ATTTAAGCTCATCTTTGGTTTTATCGCCATAATTTTAGGCCGGATAAAATTTTTCATATTGTTTGTGATTGTATTTTAGATTTTACTGAGAAATTAAGTTAGAGCACTTGTAAGGGGTTTGACCGCAGAAATCATTCTAAGTGAGACTTAAACCCCTTAGTCACCAATCACGGTCAAATCCCTTATATATCCAAAAATGCATGAGGAGTTTAAACGCCTTGATTAATCGATCCCAAACAGTATACATAATTCCACAAAATCCAATTTATGGAATGTGCGAGACTGCGAATTTGGCCAACTGAAAGATTCTCTGATCAAGGATATGATTATATTGGGACAAATGACAAAATCCGACAAGAACGCCTGCTAAGAGAGCCTGACATAGACTTAGACCAGGCAATTAAACTAGGCCAAGCAGCTGAGGCTACACGCAAACATGCACAAATTATCCAAGCTTAAAGCGATTAAAAACCCACTTCTGCAGTCACCAAAACAGGTAAAGACAGAAAAGCTTCACATCATCAAAGGGCAAAGTGCGTCAAAAATTCAGCAATGCATGTTCTGCTACTCACACAACAGGGGCAACTACCTGCATTTAACAAACACTGCAACACTTGTAGTAGGAGAAGACACTTTTCAACCTGCTGTAGCCAAAAAAGAGTAATAGCCATCAAAAAAGATGACTCTGAGCCTGAAGACCTTAAAAATCATTTTGTTGGCGCCGATCATCAAGACTGTTCACCAGCTCCACCAACCCTCAATCTGGATCAAGGCGCTTACATTGTGAACACCCTCTGAAAATACGAATGGTTTGTTCCCATCGAAACAAATGGATCAATCATTCCATACAAGATAGATACAGGTGCCCAATTCAATATTCTTTCTAAGGCTGACTTCCGGCGCATTAAGCAAAAATCTCCACTCCACAAGTCAACTATAAAACTATCAGCATACAGTGAATCGCCATTTTCAGTTGTTGGAAATTTTGTTCTTAACTTGAATCACAAAGGCAAATACTATCACGTACTCTTCGGAATTGTTGACATAGAAGCAACTACCATCCTAGGCCTCACCACTTGTTCCCTTCTAAACCTTGTCAAGCGTGTCTTGCAGGTTCATGACAATATGTATGCCATCATCATCCAGCAATTTCTAGATTGTTTTGGTGAAATCGGAAAGTTTCCTTGCATACACCACATCACCGTAGATCCAGCTGTGCCTCCAGTTGTACATCCGCCTCGCAAATTGCCAATTACCTTGAGAGGCAAGCTAGACAAGACAAGGAGCTCAAAAGGATGGTAAAAATGGGTATGATCAAGCCAGTTCAAGACCCAACTGACTGGGTCAGCATTTTTGTCGTCGTAGAAAAACCCAATGGAAAGCTTTAATTATGCTTAGACCTAAAGGATTATAATAAGGCAATAAAACACCATCATTTCCATCTTCCTATAACTGATGAAATTCTTGAGCAATGCCCAGCTCTTTAACAAGTGTTTTTTTATCATCAATCAAAACTTAAAGAGAGAAACAACTTACTTTATTTGCACCATGCAGTGGGGAAGGACATATAGTCATCTGGTCCCGACTACAGATGGTGCTTGCAATTCAACAGAACTACAATAGTCAATAATAAGTTTATCTCACATTAGGTGTCGGAAGAAATCGGTTATAAATCTAAGTTCTGAACTGTCATTAGGCAGTCTAGAATGCCCAAAAATTTTGGAGGAAAGTTCAAGAAAAATCTATTGTGTGACAAAGTTACTCAAAGTTAATGATTAGATAAACAAAATACAGTAAATAAGACGGGTAGGGCGCTGCTGGAAGTTATTTCAGTTTTCTCTAGCCTTCCAGTTGACAAAATGAATGATATTATTGCCTCCAAAATCAACTTTTTCGTAATATTGTTGAGCCGTGGATTACCAAAAAGGAGTAGTTCACATAGGGCTTCAGAGTTAAAATTATCAAGCTCAAGACCTGGGATTTCTGAAAGCTGATCAAAGAGATCGTTACGCATCTGGTTCTACATGGGGTAATGCAGGAGAAAATTATCATTGTCCTCAATGCCTGTATTGCACGTGCAGATGGGACTCAAAGATTCAAAGTTGTCCCGAAACTTGTGCTCGCGTAGGGGATTGAATCTACCCCGGAGCATAGTTACATCTCACACCACGTGTGTCGCAAATTTTTTAATTACTTTGTTGCCCAGAGAAGTCTTCATTTTGGGCGTTCTGTGCATGATTTAGGCCATGTGACTGCAGTGGGTCCTTCTTTGTCACTAAACTTGATCCTTAGCCCAACCCCAGATTCAAATTTGTGCCCGCTGCCTCTGTCCGATTCAATAGTGCGATTCAATGCTTGAAACTTTCAAGTTGTTGAAAAAACTACTATTTAATAACAACTAAAGAATACCAAATTTGAACCATGTTTGTATATCATACATCATATATGCGATGACACTAGGCTGATAAAATCGCCCATAAGCAGTGGCGAAATGGATTAAGGTTACCTTTAATTTAAAAACTAAGGAGCCCGAAAATTTGCTCTAAGTTATTTTACTCTGAAGCTAGTGTTCTGGATATAATAAACGAGTAGCCTGTATGAATCATCAGTGTAATTGAATAAAATGTCTTTTGATTAGTATTATATGTTTTGTCTACCGTATTTCCTCGAAAATAGGCCGACTCTCGAAAATAAACCAATTCAAAATAGCTTGATATTTTACCGAACCACGATCGATAAGGTCAAATGTTAGGATTACATAACTTTTCCATTTATATTCGCATTCTTAGTCAAAACTTATATATGAAATTTTGGATTCAAGTTGCAAAAATCAATTTCCCTTCTAGAGACACATACTTTTATATAACCACGATATATAGATAGGGCGCAAAAATCGTCTTGGCCACCCCAGGGGAAACATAGCCACCCCACCACTGAATGTTGCACTTTTCTCCCTGGTGGAGAAAAGTGATCTTTTCTTGTCCATTCCCTGCCCAAAACCTAAAACTGCTTGCACCTTGAGCTAATCAAGCTATATCTAAGGTTTTGGGTTTTTATTTTGGTTAGGGGAAGCAACTTGTGCCGATGCACCAACGGCCCAATGTTGCTCCCTGTGGTGAGGGAATGTAGCCTCAAGACCTGATTTGATAAGGGACGTGGCAACGTCTTCTGAGAGAGCTATTTTTCATCAAAGAGAAAATATTCCTCTGTTGATATTTTCCTAAGTAGAAAATTAATGATAATTAATTAACACCAACTATTTACAGTATACAATATATAATAAAATGGAAAAGGTTAAAGAATTTCAAGTTACGTAAAAATGTAGCATGTGCAGTTGTTGTCATCCCAGCAACGTATTTCTTTTTAGAGTTTCATCAGAAATGTCGTCAGTTTTTGGTCACCGTTAAGAGCATTCCAAAACAGACAGGGAATTATAAACAGACAAAACAGACACCGCTAAATGACAGGGAATTTATTCCGTAGTGCTGAGAATTTACTGAAGGGATTTTACATAGTCCCTTTGTACGAAGGTTGTAGGGAACATCTTTCTTAACAAAAAAATTCCCACATGTACTCTGGATTGAGATATTTGAATGATTTGTAGATTTCAACCATGAGGATTTGTAGGTTCTTTTTGTGTGTCGTCTTTATTTTACCTCTATCTAAATGTTCCTCAAATGTGGATTTATAGTCTTCGTATAAAGTTTTGAGTTCACGCTTGTGAGTCCTATTAATTTCATTATTTGTAACTCTGCTATAAATAGCCAGATCCGAGGGCAATATGATAAATTCGACATGACTAGAGAGTTTGAAAGCAACTTTTGTTCTCTTAGATATGGTTTAATCTTCCAAACGCATATAGTTTAGGGTTGACCCACACGAGTTTCAAATTTGAGTGAGTTGTCGATGTTGGCACCTAGAAATTTTACTTCTTCGCTTGATAGAGTCAATTGGCCATTTATGTTAAGGCATAGTTTATTTTTGCTCCTGAGTCCCAAGAACATTAAATGAAATTTTGATGGATTGGCACTCATGCCGTTCAGTAAACCATTGCATTAATCCCTGTATGTCATCCTCTAGTTTAATCATGACTACATCTACAGACGTATTACACACGTAAATTGTGGTGTCATCAGCAAAGATATAAATCTCTGATTCAAGTTCCATATAGAATAGGTCGTTTATGAAGAAGTTTAACAATAGTGGTCCAAGAGCAGACCCCTGTGGTACACCAATAAGGATATGCTTTTGTGAGCTAAAAGAAGAGCCTATTTTTATCCTTTGTGTTCGGTTTGTCAGGTAACTATAGACTAGTTTTAGAGCATTTTTCTTGAACCCATAGGCCTCTAATTTTGCAATCAACAGTTTGTGGAGTATACAATCGTATGGTTTTGATAGATTCGTTAGGATTGCCCCTACTGTTCCTGACATATCAAGACACTTTTTCCAAGTCTCAATAACTTGAAACAAGGCATGTAAAACGAGTAAAGATTTCCGGAAAAAAAATTCGCCACAACTCTTAACTCTCGACTAACTACTTCTAACTTTATCAATTTATGAAAATCTCAGAAAAATATTGGACTGAAGTGGCCCTTTAAGTAAAAAGAACGGAACTTTCAGTGGAGACATGCACAGTAGCGGCAATGACATCTGACACTTTCAGAAAGCCTTGCCCCAACCCCAGGTTAGGCCCCTTTTTTGTAACCAAAAAGTTTCATTCCTGACCGTTTTTACGCTAGAAAAAACAAGCACGACTTGGGAATAGATAAAAAGATTTTCGCCTTTTAGCGAAACCAGAGAAGAACGGAACCGTCCCCAAACTAGCACGGAACCAAGATGCCTAGTGTAAACGCTTATCTTCGCTTTTTCACGCACGGAGCCAAAGAGTTTCGTTCTATTTTTATTGTAAAATAGGTCTTAAATCTTTATCTAACTTGGTATAATGATTATGAAGTTTTTTTATGATGGCGATTGATGTGTTGATTCCATTTTACCTCTAGATTCTGACATCAGTTTGTAATGGAGGATTCGACTGAGTTAAAAAACGGCATAGACCATTACCAAAGTCATCAGTACAAAAAGGCACAAATTGCCCTTGCCAAAGCAGTTGAAACTGCCATGCGCGATAACGACGAGGAAACACTTACTAAAGCATTGCTTTGGCTTGCTAGAGCTTTGGCAGGAGAAAATGACTTCTTGGATGCAGTAAAGTGCCTTGCAAGAAGTCTGGCGCACGTAGTGAGAGTTGGAGATTGTGATTTTAAGCTTGAGATTGCACTCGAGCTTGGCGTTACCTACACGTCGTGGAAAAAAACGGACGATGCGATTAGAACATTGTCCAATGTTCACAATTATTTGAATAAGCTTGAAAATTATCCAAATGACTGGATGAAACAGCTTGAAACCAAAACATGCTATTTTCTTATAATAGCATTTTACATTCATGTTCAATCTCAGTGCCCAATTGAAGATAAGGAAATGGATATCAGGTCACTTCTTTTGTCAGTCAAGGATAAAGACCTTCGAAAAAAAGCTGCTCTTTACGCTTCTCTTGTCTGCATTAAATTGGAGAAATTCAACTTGGCCATTCACTGCCTAAATGGCGTCTCCTTTGAAAGCATTAAAACACTGCAGCAAGCCACGTCAATTATTATGGCATATGCAAAGAGAAAGTGCAGTGTAAGTTAGTAAAGTTAAATCATAGATTGCTTTATTAGGAAATAAGGCAAACCGGGATTATGGTTGCTCATTGTACTTGTTGCATATTCAAATGTACTGCAAAGATAGTAAATAGTATACCAGTTTTATTGTGTTACTACTGCCCTGCAATATTTGAGTTTTTTGGCCGACTCCGAATTGAAATAATTTTTCCAAATTTAGAACTGAACCGCAAAGATTGCAAAAAGGTTATCATTGCTTGAAAAATAGCAACAAAATAAAGTTGAACAAACTAAAATTGATATTTGTTCTTCAAATTTTTTCCCAGACCTATTTCTTTAAGTCAAAAAACTGCGGAAAATGCATAATACTATCAAACAGAAATTCTATCGACGGTGATGTTCGTGCTGGAACAAGAAAAGACGAGGATACATTGTGTGAAACTTTCAAGAAGCTTGGATTCTCGACATCAATTTATCCTAACATGGACGCGAATATGCTTGTGAGAGAGTTGGAAGACACTGCGAATAACTCGCAACTGAATCACGATGCACTTGCGTGCTGCATACTGTGTCATGGGTCGTTGGGCGGGATCAAGAGTTGGGATAACAGATTTATTGCTGAGCAGGAGTTGAGAAGGGTATTCAACAGCAGACGTTGTCCTAAATTGCGGGGAAAGCCTAAATTATTCTTCATTCAAGCATGCAGAGAAGACAAACCGACGCAGACAAGAAGCTACATAAACGAAACGAAGGAGTTCGATTCTGCGTATTTTGATGATACTGATTATAAAAGGGTAGAACCAGATGGCCCATATTCAAGGGAGGGTACGAATAATTTTATAATGCATTTTTATAGCTTTCCTGCTACTCATAAATGAAAAAGGTTTGCAACGTAAGGGAAAATGCTTCTTTTTTTAGTATTATTTGCTACTCTAATCTTATGTTTTTATATATTAAGACAGCTTTTGATCTGTATTCTTTTTCTTTCCAGAGTTTCCTGTCAGAATTTTAAGCACAGCAGACTTTGAGTTCTTGGAGCCATGTGTTAAAGGTAAATGACCGATTGTTAACTTAAAAGCGAAAGTTAAGAGTGTGCTCCAAGTACTTGTTTGAGTTTTTTAGATGTTCAAGTTTCATGTACAAATACTTCAAGATTTGTAAAGGTGCTAAACTGTCAAGTATTCATGGCAAAAATTTGTTCTTGCAAAGCTATTGCAGCATGAAAAAGACCATTTATTCTTGGTGTCTTGAATGTTTTCCTCCGCATTTCCAAAGAGCTTCAGGTCTTTGGCTTCCCAATGACTGTTTTTAAATCAAGGCATTTGCCTATCGTTTGCGCTGAAACTTTTTCAACATGTGATATGATAATATATTTATTCCTAACAGACAGGGATTCCACCCCTACCGTCAAACACCATTCTGCATTAAGTAATGTTAAAACATTGCAAAATGTAATGTAAAATGTAAAAAAATGTAAATGTCGTTCGAAGATTTTACTGATGTTTTCTGTCAGTATTACTAATAGTGGGCTGAATCAGTTTTAGTTATTTTAAATTTCTGATTTCATTAAGCAGTAGCAAGGACATCAAAGTTTAGAGTGACAAGATACAGATGTCCCTACTTTTGGAAAAGTACCCTATTTCAAGCAGTATCATTATAAGAACTTTTGTCTAAAACAAAGTGCTTTTTTCAACCAGTGCCCCTCCAAGTTTGAACGTCTTTTGACGTGCGTAAAGAACGGTGTTACTAAAGCAGCTCCAGTTAGTTGATGCTTTTGCCTTTGGCTGCTCTTCCCATGCCAAAGCTAATTGTTTGATGGTTGATGAGTTAGTTTGATAAACAGTCAAGAGAAGTAGCTGAAAGATTATGTAACCGTTTTTCCATGATTCAGTTTCCCACTAACTCAAAGCAAGTTTTTCTGTATTTTCTACTTTTCTTCTGTAGGGTTACAGAAACAGATCCAATTTTCGTATTACAGAAATTAATATAATAACTTTAAAATATTTGATGTAAAAAACTACTAGACATCTAGCATGAAGTTTGAATCCATATTAAACCCAAAAGTGTATATATTTTTTACTTTGACAGTATATTTCTACTAGCTTCATCAAGATTGTGCCGTGTGCGCTATGCATTAGAAAGTCTGAAAGAAACATGCTATACGACCTTTGTATTATCTTCGAGCGAGTTCAGAAGTACACAGTAAAGTATTGAATAGAAAGCATAAACCAATATCCAACAGTATTGCCAACAGGCTGGCTTGCACATTGCTATATTTCTTGTAGCTATTGTATATTTTAAAGAAGCCATTTCTGTTTTCTTGCAAGAAAGGTACTGACGTACTCTTTTCATGTTGTTATTTTAGCTTATCTCCCTCAACTTATCAATTCCCGCATATTTTCTTTGTTACAACTTTTCCCTTCATTATGCCTGGTTCATAATGCTGACAATAATTTTTTGGTTTCAGTTCAAGCAGAATATTTGAAGCTTTTCCTTCATTCACTAAGTTGCACTGTTGAATTGTAGAGCAAGTAGCAAAGGATATAATGGAGCTTCAAGAATATTTTTACAATGCCAGTGAAAGTCTCCCTGACGATAGTGACTATTTTATTGGTCATGCAACAACGCCAGGTAAGGCTTTGTATCTAGATAATGGCAAAAATCAAAATGTCCGAAACATTTTCATTGGCTACGTTAAAAATGCTTTTTTGGAGATTCTGCGTGACTGTTGAAGATGGTGATCAAAATACATTAGAATTAGATTAATTGAAGATTTTTTCCAGCCTGGAAACATTTTCCTACTGAAATCAGGCTTTAGGATAACGATCTGTGAAGAAGAAAAGTGATCAGTAATTTTTCATGATTTACTGTTTTACTTAAACGAGTTTCCTGGAGCATTTTTTTATGGTTTTGTGGAGGTATTCATTCAAAGGGATATAAAAAACAAGTGCTTTCTTACCATGCTATGCGTTTGAGAATAATTTGACTAGAAGTATTAACAGTGATATATGTAAAAGAACTTTTGAATAGCAATATATTCTAAATCGAAATTTTAATCGTAAGGATTTCTTTGTCCGTCAACTAGGATTGCTTAATCATTACAATCTCCAAGTTTGTTCTTCTTAAAGTTATTTCTTTTCAATTAAGGTGCATTTCTTGAAAGAACTCTTATACAGTTAGTTCAATTACCTGCAGAATGCTTTATCAACTTACCATTTTAGGAAAACTGGCTGTTCGTGATCCGAAGCGAGGCTCGTGGTTCATTCAAACTCTTTGTGAACACATCGATAAATATGCAAACCTAAACACATTGCCGGAAATTTTCACAATGGTTCAATGTAAAATAGCAGAGGAAGAAGCGTACAAGGTAATACCTGAGATGAGTTCCACATTGCGAAAGAAGCTGAGTCTATCTGACACCACCAATTTGTGAAGCAACAAATTTTCCATATCGTTGAATAGACACATTAAGTAGAGATAAGCTTTGACAAATATAAGCATGTATAATCTCGTGTTTTATCATTTTTGCTTTCCACTGGTTCTTTTTATCGCTTTGCTAGATAGCTGAAAAAATGTCAACCATTCTGCACTAAACATCGTACCCGATGATAAGCTAATGAGTGAAATCGTGTTATCTTATTCTGTATTGCCGCTTCTTATGTTTGGCATTTGGCTAATAATCAGCTTTTCAGCCCTTCAAACGGCTTCTCTTATTGGTCAAATGGCCTGGTCCTTCAAGTTAGGGGTATTGAAAGAGGCGCCGGAAGTTTCATAATTCGGCGGGGCAGGACCGGTAGAAGGGCACCTTAGGGTGTCAAAGTTTGTTGATCGGGGATCTTCATTTACCCAATGACGAAGCCTGGTTGTAGGTGAAGGCCCTGTCAAGGGCGAAAGGGTCGGTGTTCTTGGGGCTTAGCCCGTACAAAGGAAAATTTTGCGTTGCCACGCCCTAAAGACTCTCGAAAATGAATGCAACACCCATAGGAAATGCATTTGAATCAAGACTAAAGTCAAACTTCATTCTCGTAATTCCTTTCACTCCAACATCAAGCATCAAGGAAGGCTGGATCCAATCTTACTTTACATTAAAACAAATTTTTGTTCTGATGACCATCTACATGGCTTGATATAACTTTTGAATATAACTTCTCTGAACTTACTGCTTTTTCTTTCTTTATCGAAGTTGGTACAATCTGCAGCTATATTGAAGCTAAATAAAGGAAACTAGTTTAAATTACCAACGCTAAATACAATTTAAAGCAACTATAACTGGTGTTGCATGCATATTTCTTGTCACATACATGTTGCATACAAGATCACAAGTATTGAACGATGAAATTTCTGAGATTTTTTCTCTAATTTGTGTAAAGTTGGGGAGTACTCACACTCTTTGTTTATAAGAACCAGTAAATTTAGGTTCAGGCTGACTGTTCTCAAGTTTTTCGAAAATCTTTGGCTGTGAAGTGAGTGAGACAACCTTCATTTGCCGACAAAATTGAGTATTCACCGAAAAAGTGTTAAACTATATTCATTTGCCATGATGGAAGCGATTTAGATTGATATCAGAACGCATGAAATGAACGCCATTTTAAAACAACGAGAATCATAAGTCAACATAATTAGCATAACAATGCAACACAAGGAAACAATGAGATCACAATCTAACACCCTCTCTTGATCTCATATAGGTTATATATCAAAAGTAATTGTAAAAGCCTTCAGTCTATCCAAAAATATAATGTTTAAATTTCTTCAGTTTTTCTTTACTAGCAGCTTTAGTCAACAAATCAGCAATCATGTCTTGTGTCGGACAGTATTTAATTGTCACTTTACCTGTCTCTTGTGTTAATGGAATAAAATGATAACGAATATCTATGTGCTTTGCGCGTTGACGGTTTACAGGGTTCTTTAAGAGAGCAATTTCACCTTGATTATCTTCAAAAATAGTTGATGACTGACAAGATTCTTTCAAGTCATTAAGCAGCTGAATAAGATATCGACTCTCTTGTACAGCTGATGCAAGTGCAATATATTCTGCCTCACAAGATCACAAAGCTACTGTGGGCTGGTTCTTTTATTTCCAAGAAATAAGTGTGCCTGTATCACTCAAACTAAAGCAATATCCGCTGGTACTTCGCCTATCTGATGAGGATGCCCAGTCTGCGTCACTGTAACCAAGTAGGACTAAATTCTCTCTGCACTTCCTGTAGCATAACTCATACTCTAAAATACCTTTCAAATATCTCAGAGCATGTTTCACTGCTGTCCAATGACTCTGAAGTGGATTGGATAAATTCTGCGATAACTTGGTGACTACCCAACAAAGATCTGGTCTTGTGCATGTCATCGCATATATTAAACTACCAACAGCTTCTCTGTATAGCTCGGAATCACACTTTGACTGGTCAGAGAAGTCAAGCTTCTGCTCTGACGGTGTCATCCTTGGTTTACAATCAAACATTTGAAATCTCTCAAGGATCCTTGACAAATATTTCTTTTGTGACATCTTTGCAAAACCATCTCCCTGCTCAAAACTCCACACCCAAAAAATATGAAAGTTTTCCCAGGTCTTTCATTCTAAATCTCTCTTGAAGCATCAACTTTATCTCATTAATAATTCTATTTTCACTTGCAGCAATAATTATATCATCAACCCAAATCAGTAAATATACCATTTTCTTGCCAACTTCTTTCATATAAACACAGTTATCAACTGAGCTTTGAACAAAATTGTTCTCTAATAAATAGTTGTGCAGTAACATATTCCAGTTTCTACCTGACTGCTTTAATCCGGAGAGTGACTTGTTTAGTTTATGCACCAATCTTTCACTCTTATCACGATTAGGAGTCTCAAAACTTTCTGCTTGATCCATGTAGATCTCACAATCAATGGGTGCATTTAAGTATGCTGGTCTTGACATCCATTTGATGTAAAATTAAGTTATGCTGTGCTGCTAGCTGGCATAACACTCTAACTGATACTATGCTTGCAGTAGGAGCAAAAGTCTCTTGAAAATCAATTTCTTTTACCTGGCTATAATCTTTTGCTACAAATCTTGCTTTGTAGGTGATTTCTCCATCTGCTGCACCCTCTTTTATGGTGTAAACCAAGCGACCCCCTACTGGTGTTCTACCATCTGGCAATGTTGTTACTGTAAAAGTACCATTTTCAAGAAGAGAATTCATTTCCTCCTTCATTGCACCTTTCCAGTTCTCAGAGTCTGGAGTTTGCAAAGCTTCCTGGTATGTCTGATGAAAAGAAGAAACTTTATAACAATAGTCAACTGAATTCATCACCTGAGTATTTTCAATTTCCTGCTCAGTGATGTAATCACCAAGATGAATTGGTGGTCTCCTTTCCCTTTTGGGATACCTACTTTCAGATGGCATTTGATTATCAGTTGGCTTCACTTGTTCTTTTCTCTGTTTCATCATTTAATCTCTCTGGAAACAACATGGCCTCCTCATAATCCGATAATACACTATCTGTTTGTGTCTGCTGCTCAATCACTTTCTTGATTGGAAATTCACAATTCTGTACTTCATAACTTTGTTAGTTTCAGGAATAAAAACAAGATAAGAAGGACTGTTCTTATCATATCCTAGAAAAATTCCATTTGTACCTCTATCATCCAGCTTACTTCTTTTCTCCTTGTTTGCAAAGCATTCGGCTCTAAATATCCTCATATTAGAGATATTAGGCTTCCTCCCTGCCATGGCATGATATGGTGTCTTCTGCAGACGTTTGTTATAGCACCTGTTGCGTGTATAAGCTGCTGCCATCACTGCGTAAGGCCAAAATTCTTTACTGACATTCCCTTGTTTCAGCTGGCATCTCCCCATTTCAAAGAGGATTCGCCAGTGTCGTTCAGCAGTGCCATTCTGATGAGAAGAGTTAGGACATGAGGTGTCATGTCTAATTCCATTTTTCAAAAGAAGGGACTCAAACTCCTTTGAAATGAATTCACCACCTCCATCAGATCTCATGTATTTGACTGTGCCATAAGGAGCTACATCTGCTAGAAACTTTTCCGTAGCTTTAAATGCACCACTCTTATTCTTGAGAAAATATACAGCTACTGCACCTGTAAAGTCATCAGTAAAAGCAATAATGTATTTAAAACCATCACGAGAAAAGGGTACAACTGGTCCATAAAGATCTGTGTGTACTAATGCTAATGGGACTTTTGCTTTGGCATCTGGTTTTTTGCTTCGGGAATCTGCAAGCTTCCCCAATGTGCAAGTATTACAGTCTCCTGGCTTGACACTTTTTTTTACCAGTAACTGTCATTCCATCAACAACATCTTCTAGCTTAATAATGGCCTAGAATTGCATTCCATTTTTTTATATCTCGTGAGTAATTTACAGAATCAGACTCAATATTTATATCAAATGTTTTTAGATAATATAGTCTACCATTTTATCTCTATGTTAAATTCAGTTCCATCCTTGTACTTCAGCTCAGCATGGTCTGGCTGGAACATTATGCAAGCTCCTTTGTCAGTTGCAGCTTGTACAGAGAATATATCTTGAGGATACGAAGGGACATATAGTGCATTTGTCAGAGTAACCTTCTTAGGGTTTCCACCTTTATCTTGGATAACAACTTCTACATCTCCCCGCATAAGGGCAACATTGTTAGCTTTTGCTCCATTAGCTAACTGAATGTAATGCTTAAAAGGATCAAATGTACTATCAAACCTTGTATACTTCGACTTGTCTGTAAAAATATGACTTGTGGCACCACAATCTACTAGAAGTGAGTTTTGTTTACCAACTTTGCTTTCATCTGTTCCAGTATTCATTGCAAAGACAAATGAATGTTCAACCTCTTATTCTGTTACTCTGTTCGCCTTGTCTGTCCTCCCCCACTTCTGTCTTCGACATGATCTATCATTGTGAGTTCCAGAGCGGCATGTACTACACCACAACTCACTTTTTTTGCTTGTCATCCACTGAACAATTACGTGCTATGTGTCCCGACTGATTGCACTTACAACAAACAATGCCACCCTTCTTCTTTGACTGACGGCCTTTTTCTGAAGGAATGTATTTGAGTTTTATGATGGAATCATTTTCAGTAATCTTTGACTTTTCGGTATCTTCGAAGCTTCTGAGGGCATCTTTGAATTCGGTGAAGCTTTGTTTCTTGTCGCTTTGAGTAATGAAAACAACGAAAGGTTTGAAACTCTCAGGTAACTCCTTTAGGACCATGGCAATTAAAATATCATCGCTTACTGTTTCTTCAGCATTCTTCAGTGCCGTGAAAGCTTTTTCTGCTCGTATGACATAATCGGTGACAGATTCTTCGGGTGATTTTATCAGCGAAGTTAATTCTGTATAGAGGGAAATTATACGCGGTTTCCCAGTGCCAGCGTAGTGTGCTCTTAAAATTTTAAGGGCATTTCTTCCATCATCAACAGCATCACGCATAATCAACGAGAGGCTCTTATCATCAAGGAACTGTATTAATTCTGCAAACGCCTCTTCATTCTTCGATGGATTTACATCTTCATCGGAAAGGATCGTTGTCTTTAAATTTCGAAGCTTCATATGGCCTAAAAACCTTATCTCCCACTGTTCGTAATTTCCTTCATTTCCATCGAAAATAAATCATGTAAAATT